TGCTGTGTTTTATGGAATGGGCCAAATATTGAGTTAACAGCAGGAAAGGCAATTTATGGGCTTTTCTTTCCATCTCCTGATTATTTGATCTAAATTAGATAGGAATTTTTTGAAATAACAAAAACACCTTAACTGTGTAATATAAAAGAACCATGAGTTATTTTCTATGATCCTCTAAGTTACTTCCTTTAAGGTTAGCTATATCATACAATTTTAATGTGACAGAATAAGCTGCAGTATAAAATGTCTTACATACTAAAATAAAACAACAAAATTTCAAAATATTATGAAATTCAATTAATATTAAAAAATCAAAGAGCCCACCTTTACATCAGAAGTATCTCTCTGACTAGTTCTCCAGGACCTTGCAACGGAGGAGAAGGTTCGATCTGGATGATCAAATTTTCCATCATTTGCATTGAGGAAGAAGGTTGTGAAAGGTTCCTAAGCAAAAACAGAATCAGAAATTTGACCGTTCTTAACATTCTTTCCTTTGTGAAATACAGAACCATCATGAGATGGAAGCAGTGCTGGTTTCTAGAAAAATAACCATGCCAGTGGGTCAAGAGATGCCAGCCTGAGTCCCAGTGGGCCATTCGGCATCTACTGTTCTAAAGTTCTAGCAGGTTATTCTGTTTCTTGGACTTCCATTTTCTCATCTATAAAATGATGGTGTTCTAGTGCTCTATGATTTTATGATAAATTATTTTGCATTATTGTAAATTCATAACTCAGAGTTTTGTTCCGGTAATTAAGGCCATACATACAAGTGCTGTGATAAGCAAATCACTCTGACACTGTTCACCACAATGTGGAATTAGGTAAGGAGTGCCCATCTGAGATTACTCATGAAAGGCTACTAGCTTCATTAAAGTATGATGATCTTTTGAAAATGCAAACCCCTGAGCCAGCCCATGGCTTGGTGGTTAAGTGGCTGCATCCCACATAGCTGACTGCATTTCAAGTCCCGGTGGCCTAAAAAACATTCTAGATGCATGTGTACATGTGCCCAAAATCCTGAAAGGAGAGAGAAATAGAGGAAGAAAGGGAATGGAGTGTGACCATTTCTCATGGAGTATGCTCCCTCACTTATTTCGTTTCTCTCTATATACCAAGTGCCTATGCCCTTGAGACTTTTTTAAAAAATTTATTTTACTCATGTTAGAGAATGAATGCTTGTCCATTTGCATGCGCATCCAAAACAAAGACAGACAGTGAGAGAGAACGACTCAGGACAAGGTCCCATCATGCTGCATTCCCCTTTCCCCAGCCCCCTAGCTCAGGTTCCTAGGCACACATGTGCACACCTGGCATGTTTCAGGTTGACCAGGTTGGGGATTTGAACCCATAATAGGCCATGTGGTTCTTAGCAGTACATTCCACATGCTACCGGCTATGCCACCTAGGCTGGGACTCCATGAAGTTTTTGCAGTTTCCTTGTATAGAGTGGGAGAAAGGAGTTGTTACTGATCCACCTGAAAATCAGATGTTCATCCAGGAAGCCCATATTGCTGCTTAAGATTCTAAGTGATCTGAGAGACAAAAAGATGTCACCAAAATGAAATTAGGAATAAAAATTTTATGAGATGTCTTTCCATAATTAATTTGCTTTCTAGAATTTTCATTC